AATTGCCCTAGCTCACTCATCTGAAGAGAGTTTCTAGGGAACAGTTTGGGCAGGGAAAGCCAGAGAACCTACTAATCTGGGAATCGAGCAGAGTACTGGAGACAAGAGAGGCTGCCCAGAGAGCTGCAAAGACTAACTCTCAAGTCTCCAGCTGAGTACTGATTAATACAAGGAATTACCCAAGTGTGGGAAGGAACCAGCTGAAAGGTGCAAAGGGAAAAATCTCCTGAGCCCACCTAGGACCAGACAGGTTTCATGCTATGACCAGCCAGAGTAAAAACACTCACAAATCACAGGTGACATAATATGTCTTCAGAAGGATTTTACCCTGTAGTAAGGTAATATTATTCCTAGATTAAATGCTGCTTTGGTTGCACGTAATAAAGTAACTTTATAAAGCTATAAAGCACAACTCGTAAATATTTATGATAAAACAGAAACAATCATTATCCAGCAAAGTAAAAAATGCACAATGCCTGCCATACAATTTAAAAAATTACCAAGCATGCATAGAGCAGAAAAATATGACCCATAATAAAGAGAAAAACAAACCAATAGAAATACAATCACAAATGAGCTATAGAAAAAGACTTGAAAAAGATTAACATTCCATATATTCAAGGATAGAGAAAAACTGAGCATATTAAATAGAAACATAGAAGATACAAAAATTAACCCAATTCAGGTATCCAGAGAAAAAAAATGTCTGACATGAAAATTACACTGAATAGAAATAACAGATGAGATACTATGGAAGATAAAGTAGTGAACCTGAAGACAGAGCAATAAAATCTATCCAAAGGGAAATAAAGACTGAAAACGAAATGAACAGAGCATTAGTGAGCTATATGTTAAAAACACGATAAAAAGAAATCAGTAGCTAGACACACAATAAAAACTGCAAAAATAAAAGTGAATATTTTAAAACAGCCCAAGAGAAATGAATTCTAAATCCACAGTTCCAAAGACATAATTTCAGAAAGTAAAAACAATTCTACTTTGAAGGAATGTCTGAGATGCAAGAAAAAAGGTGAGCCAAAAAAATTAAATAACATGTGGGCAAACCTAAACACTGACTATATAAAATACTAATAATATCAAATTTGTAGGTTAAATAAAGAACTGGAGGAATTTGATTAGAATTAATATATTTTAACATCCTCATGTTTGCAAAGAGGGTACAAATAGATATTTGCCATTTTTAGATGTTAAATTTATAAAGGTAATACAAAGTACTTAGAATGATTAAATTTCAAATCAGTAGAGGGAAAACATAATAAGTAGAAAACACATCCAATCCAAAGACAGAAAAGGAATAAGGATAGGAAAGAAGCATAGCACAGAACAAGGGAAACATGGGCAGTAAAAAATAAGGTGGAAAAATAAATCCAAATATACTTCGGCACTATGGTGGGACAGATATACTTCATAAAAAACAGACTTTGTAATCATTGCTTGGTTTTACTGTATAAGAGAAAAGCCCTCTCTCTCTCTACCCTCACAACACAGGGGGGTGGGGATGGGGGAGGGGGGAAGAAGAGCTGAAACAAAAGCAGGAAAGGAGCAAGAAGCACCAGGCAAGAAGCTTGGAAGGTAGATTTTACCCTAAAAGCAAATGGCCTGCAAATGATCTCTGGAGAAAAAACATTAAGAGAGTAGCAAGGTCAGGCGGTTCAAACGAAGACAACTGCATTCAGTCAGAACCTAGAAGGGATTAAAGTGGTGCCAGTGGATTGGCACTGCCTCACCAGAAGCAAATGCAAATCATCTCTGAAGGAAAGCACCCACAATTTAGGTCCTTTGTCTTCCCACAGTTTAGGTTGACTCACACCCTTAAGGAAATAAGCCAGAATGGTAAACATCAATATCAGAAAGTTTAAACTTATAAAAATGTAATAGTATTGAAGTAATCAGAAATAGAATCCTACATAATAAAAGGGTAATATGCAAATAGACCAACTGGCAGAACAATCGAACAACCAATCAAAGCATAATATGCTAATGATATGCTAAGGCTGCTCAACCACTCGCTATGATGTGCACTGACCATCAGGGGGCAGTCAACTGGTCGACCAGTTGCTATGACATGCACTGACCACCAGGGGGCAGATGCTCCAACTGGTAGGTTAGCTTGCTGCTGGGGTCTGGCCGATCAAGACTGAGCGAGATGGGCCGGACACACCCTGGAGCCCTCCTGCAGTCCCTCCCCAGCCTGATCCCTGGCCCAATTGATTGCGCACCGGTGGGGTCCCTCAGACTGGCCTGTGCCCTCTCCCAATCTGGACCCTCAGGGAATGTCGGAGAGCCGGTTTCAGCCCGATCCTG